CAATTTAAAATTTTTTAACAATACACACGCACCTATGGAATAGTAGCTCTTCATAAGAAAAATGGATGAAAACCTACTTTGAAATTTCTTTTGAAACTTTGAAAGTTCAAAATTTGAACTATAATTTGAACCTATTTTATATTTTGTATAAACATACGTAGATACATACGCAAGTGTAAATGCGTAATTCTTCTTTAAATCTACACAGACAACCCTAATTACCTTCCATAGTTCAAACAGCACATAAGATTTGTGTAAATTGAACATGGTCATCCTAGATACATTACCGATGTGTAAACACAAACGAGGTAGGCAAAACAGATCTGCCATTGCTAAAATTGTCATGGTACTTATCTCATCAGACATCGCCAATTCAGCAATACGTTGGTTGGACTATTGGTTACATCTCTTCATGGGAATTTCGAGCTGCTTATTTGTTAATCTACTAAGCTCAGGTATGCCTCTATTTACAGGCAAACAATTGGATTTCCAAAATTTTCTGGGAAACAAACAGGAGCAATAAAGTTTACAACACGAGCATCTCGTTGACACAAAAATTTTGTTGTATTTGCCGACAGTATTATAACCAGTGTGTTACGTGATCGAGACTGGCGTTCTAAATTAAAAGAGATTGTAAGGGTTCAATCAAGATTATGTCTGACAAATTATATACATTAACTTATAATGGAAATCGATCTTACAAACGGTCTATTCTTCGCGGGATACATGAAGATCTGTGTTGAATCATATTTTATTCTAATATCTTTCTTAATAACTTGTTCATTTGCATGCATGAACTGTTTCAAATTTATTAAGATATTTGATGACCTGAACTTTCGTCAATACCTAGACATAAAATGCATTTTAAGATAAATGAAAGATATCTGTGCATCATTACATATTACCGCAAAGATCGAATCACTTGAAAACTTTATATTTTCGAATTTTTTGATGGTTTATCAAACTAGATGACCACTATCCCACGAAGAAGAACACCCAATAAACAGTATTCCATACAGTTCATATGTTTGCTAATCTATTGATTCCAAATGCCCACACTTCAACATTACACCACGTAATCAAACCCGTTTTGTATTTATTTTCTAAACCAGTATACCTCAATATACAGGTTTAAAGAAAAAGGATATACGATTTTGAAAGAGCATATACTAAGCATAACGTGAAGAGACAAAGTTTCAGTCCTCGTCGACAATATCCCAATAAATTGGTAACGACTCTGCATTAGTTGAAACCAGGAGCACACACAACGACTAAAATTTGCACGTCAGACAGAAACAATTCTTGAGCCTTTCATCACTTTGCTAATAAGTGATGAAGCTTATTTTCATCTCTATGACAATGAATCAACAACACTGTGTTTTTTAAGATTATGGGACATCGCTAACTTTCCACCGAATGTGGTTAGGTATTTAACAAGATTCTTGCTGGACGTCATTGGATGACTTGATGCTTTCATTCACATACTTTTGACCCAAGCTAATTAGATACTAAACAGCTATATGATATAATCCTGTTTTAAGCTGTACCGTAACAACAAAACAAAACGTTATGTTATGAAAACGTTGAAGGTAGTGTAAGAAATAATTCATTTACTCTCGATGTTGATGTGAACCAAGCCATCATTGTTGATTGAAGGTCAACAAGAAGTATCAAGGTGCAGGAAAAACATAAGGCATTGGGAATCCTTAAATTAACGGCGCCTGCAAAAAAAACCAATGCCCGGAAACCTTTCTTGCCATCCAGTACCGATTTGAAGCGAAGTCTAAATTGGCCAGGAAATTATGATAATGGACTGGCTCTAGTGTTGGTGGTAGGTGGTCGAACAGGACAATTATAAACGCAATCTTCCAGATAATTCATTCACTTCCAGACATAACTGGCCACACACAACTGCGATGGCATCAGGTTCACGATTGGGGTGGCAGATTTCTTTAATTATGGAGTAAGTTCGAGAGAAATTTAATTTCTCAAGATGGTTTTCCGGTTTTTTTAACACAATCTCGGCAACAAATGCATCTCAATGTTTCTGTATTGATTGAGAACCAAACCTGCGATACTGAGGTGCTTACATTGGATGACATCAATCCATCATCCCAAGACGAACTTAAAGTATTGGCGAATCCAAGTACGGGAAAAGGATACTTGTCTTAAATTGCTTTCGTTACAGTACAGTAGTATAAAAAGCTACAGATAGGGCTTGCAATACCGGACCAAAATCTCAATACCGGTATTCGATATTCCAAATTTTTAAAACCGGGATAATACCGGTATTACTATAAAAAAGTTTACTCACTAAATTACAATCACTAGATAGATATATCTAATTGTAAGATTTTTTCCCCTCTGCGGCGTCACCTCTACTAACAACAGGTTAATTCCTACTATATTTTTAGATTGGCAACAAAACATAAGATACAGAATCTGAGAAGATAATCAAAAAATGGAAAGATATTAGGAATCTGTACAAAGTACCAATAAACTTAAAGGTCTGGATACCATTATTGTTTTGTTGTCTTTCACTTGATCCAAAGGTTCGACTTCACTGCCGCGTCAAAAGATGAAATTACACTTCAACATCTGAAGCTCTATAGAATTCTTTCGAAATCCTGCTTTGGAATTTTCTGGAAAGGTGCAGATTCAAGAAAGAAACTTTAACATAATGGCTCTTGGTAGTTTGTCAGACTTATCATACTACTGTTATACTTGGTGGGTGATTTATTGAACACGAACATTAAGTTGTCGTCATCAAAGGTTATATAACGAAGACTCGTTATCTTCAACAGAATGCAAAATGATATTTCTTGTAGACGGTATTCACACTGATCAAAAAATGTCACTTGAAAAAATGAGGTTAGTACGGACATAATGATGGATAACAAATTTCTGTTTGGTCAACATCATTTTCCAGCACAGCTTTAAACAAACACGGCTGTTTTCGAAAAGTCGCCTCCGGCTAGCATTTTTTAATGAAACGTCAAAAAATGTGACTTGAAAATGTAGAACAAACAAACAAGAATCCTCTACGTCATTTTCCAGCACAACTTCAAACTAGCACGGTCGTTTTTGAAGACATCGGCCATCGAGGACGCTAAATAAAAATAATACCGAAATACCGGTATTTTGTCATCAATACCGGTTTTTAATACCGGACAGAAATTGTCCGGGATCCCGGTTTTCGGGATCCCGGGATCCCGGTATTGCAAGCTCTAGCTACAGACTTCCTTTCTTCAGCTGTCTGACATCGCAAGGCCACCCTTCTAGAAATAAGTCATTAATAGCCGATACCTCCCATATACTACAGGTATATTTTTGGAAACGGTAAAACTAAGCATTGGTGTACGGTATAATTGTTTTGCTACCGCCACCCTCATCATTTATGCGAACCAAGTAATTTTCGTTAATGAAACTTCGACGTTAAGCTATCAAGATGTAGGGAGAACTTATGGTATCGAGCATCTTTAACCTAACAGCGTCCACAAAAAGAATAGACTGTCAATAAAACCTTCCTTGGTACCCAATATTAAATCGAAACGAATTCAGAATTGAGCAGCATTGGTAAAAATATTAGCAGGTTTACAATGATCGGCTGTTATACGAACTATTATGTAGTGCGACAGGTTATAATCCAATATCATAAGGGTACTAGTGATCATAAAAAATTATTAGAAAGGCGATATTTTGCAATACAAAATACCTCTGCGTCTATAAGACCGAGAAAGGCAATTGGAAAATGTCGCTCTTTTAATTGAGAGAGTGACCTGCAATATCAAGTGATTACATTGGACGACATCCATTTATTATCCCGGTACGAACACGACGCAGTGGTGACCCCAAGAGCAGGAAAAATATACTCACCATAAGTTGCTTTCATTACAATGTTCGCAATATTTCTTCTTTAAAGTTCCTCTTCTTCAAACCTGATCTTTCTTCAGCTACTTTAAATTCTCCAACGGTTCCTACAGTTTCGTCTACAGAACTTGTATTTTCTTTAAGTCTTTTAGATTCCATTTCTTCATGTAATCAATCTCTTTCACCTTTTTTCTTGATTCCTACACGTTCTCCAACGTTCGCAGTTATCTTTAATTTCATTCCAACTTCCTTTGATTACACTCTTTAGATATCTGTTAGCTCTTATTATGTCTTCATCAGATCATTGTGTTCCAATACACATATTAATTTCTTTTTCAATTTGCATTATCTTCAATTGCTGTAGTTCCCCTTCAATTCCTACATTTTTTTCTACTTTCGCTATATCTACTTCCTGCGCTGTTTTCAATTTTAAAGTTCAAAGGCCTTTTTTTCAAATACCTTCTTAATATGTCTTCATTTTCAATTACAACTTTAAGTAACGATAACTGTTGTTATACTTAATTGAAAATTAATTTTAACCATAAACTATTAACGACCACTACAATATTAAAATATGTTTAGCCACACTTAATTATGAAATTAATGAATTGTGCAGATGTCTTCTCATTTGGCGCTAATTAAATTCCTCTCGTCTATTTATTTTTAGTATTAGTACCAAGTACGGTTAAATATTTATTTAATGGAAGTATGTAGACACAATTACGGTGACCTAAAACGCAATCGCTTGTGTCTCTCTATACATTTTCCTCAACAATTTAAATCTTGTCGTTGGGCGAAGATCTCAAAATGCATGACCTCGTATGACTTACTGAACTTGGGACATCGTCAACAACTCTTCTGTTCGGCATGCGATTATGTCGGTCACGGTCGATGCCCGATCATATGGGACCAAATCTCTAACGGTTAATATCGTTAATAAATGAAACATGACAAACGTTATTTATTTTTATAGTTCTAATAAACCTATAAATGATAACTATAAAATAAAGCTTTATTAAGTAAGTACTTTATTGTACCTCTTTTTTCAAAATTTGATTTTGATTGATTTTGACCTTTGATCATCTCTATCCTATTAAATACTTCTTCATCAAAATGAAATGAAATGCAATGAAATGATATAAAATAAAAAAACAAACACCTAAAGCGGTAGAAAATTAACCACAAACAGTTAGGAATTCCATGGCTTTAATTGGAAGCCTACGGGCCGAGACCGTAACCCATAGCAATAAACACTAGACTTCGATTACCATACCTTGTTAAAAGATAACAGTAGCATCCAAACCAACAATTCACCTCCTCCAAGCAGATCCTTTCAAGTCACCCTACGGTACACATAGTTTTATTGCCCAACCACCCAAAACAATCCCTTCCTTTCTTTCTGTTATTAACTTCTTTCTCTTCTTCATCGACCGAGAAACCAATTGTAATCGTCAATCGATTTTTTTTCTTTTCCTTCGCAACTTTATTGCCTTCTCTGCTCCCAAGAAGATTGTATAACTGTGCCTCTCTTTGAGATCCTTTCGGTTTTACGTTTTAACGCCGTTGTTTATTCGGCGCGGGAGATACTGTTATAGCTGTTACAGTGAACGTTCGGCAAAAGAAGAGTTGGGTTTTTAAGATTTCGATTAAGTCTTTACAAGTCGTTGGTGCGGACGAATATGGTGAGAGCTTATTGACGGTTATCGGAGAACAACCGAATGGTACATTTTATAATTTAATTAAACTAAAGTGAGATTGTGGGACTTGAAAGGAAATAAATGGGACCGATAACTAAAGTGAATGATGCTAAAGTGGGTTCCTGGAGTCAAATATAGTTCCGAATTAATTGCTATTCCGGTAAGAAATTAAAAATTTATTATTTAATAAATATCAAAAATTAATAAATAAATTTTAATTTTAAAAATCATAATGAAACGAATCTTTAAAAATGAATTGAAGTGATAATCACTAAATGAATTATAATTATCTGTCGTCAATGTCTAGATTAACATTAATTACTACTAAATTTCAATTAAATATTAATCTGCATTGAAAGTCTGATTATCCTTATTAATAAAATTATATTTCTTACGAATGAATTCATTTCAGAAGAAAATGTAAACTGAAATTAATCATTTTTCAATTTACTACCACCGTTTTAATCATTCTTTTTCATTTTTCAGTCCTTGTTCATTCCTTCATTATCTGTTAAATTATTTTTTCCTTCTTGGTGTTTTCGATTTTCTTGGAGGCGACTTGATATATGGTTTAACCCTTTAATGACCATCGGTACTTTAAAGTCCTGCCACTTTTGAAATTCATTAAGAACGTTTACTAACGTTATGTTGCTTGAGGGTATAAAATTTGGTGTTTAGCTGATAAAAAGGGATATATCCAAAATTTCAAGTATATTAACGGAAGAATGATGGGTTCAGGATTACAAAAGTTACGGCTTAGGAGAACGTGTTGTTTTAGATTTAGCAAAAACTAACTAAAACTTTTCGACAACTGTTTTACTTCATTTTGTTTCCTTGAAAAATTAAAAATAGAGAAAGTCTTTGCATGTGGAACGATGAGAGAACATAGAAAGGGTGGTCCTAAAGACTTCGGCAAAAATAAGATGGAAAGAGGAGAATTTATATACAGAAAATCAAACACAAATATAAGTTGCTACAAGTGGATGGATAAGAAACCCATTTTCTTAGCTTCTAATTATCATGGAAACGAGACAACAACAACTGTGAAAAAAAAATCTAAAGATGGAGTAAGCCAAGAAGTTCGATGTCCTGCAGTAATAATTGATTACAATGCCGATGTGGGGGTGTAGGCCTCGCCGACAAACTACGAATATCGGACTGTCGAATATCGCAGAAAGCTTGCCCAAGGATTAATGAATACAATTGTCCATCGAAATAGAAGATCCACTGAGACACTAATCATGTGTTAAAAAAGCGACGGCGATTCAATTGCAGTGTCAACGATGAAATTTGTTTGGGGAATGTTGAGTACACTTTGTGGTTTTCTCTGAAAACAGAGCTCGCTGCGAAATGTGCTCTACAAAAAGGAATCTTAACCTTTTTCAAGATTCAATGCATAGAACGCATCCCTATGCTGCAATAATAAATTTAATTGTTTTGCAGAACACTTAGTCTATTCTAATCAATTTCCTATTCTGTCCTTAGATATGACCCGTGATATAAACCGCCAATACTTCTCAAAGAGCACAATGTTGTTATGGTGTTTTTCCTTGCAAGTTTCTCACCATTCCCAATCAGAAATAGCGATGATGGACAAGGTTTGGTAACCATGCAAAACTTTTATGTTGATGTTCAAGAACTACAACTAAGTTCTCGTGTACAACGTGTTGAAAAAGTGGACTGTCGTACACGATATATTATTTCGATATATTGTATGTGAGAGCCCTCAGCTCCATTTTCTTAAATATCAGCTCAAACATGAACAAAATACTAAGCGTATTACTGTTTTCATTGGGTCATCGTAAGCTCTAGCATAACAATAACTTACAACAACAATATCTTGTTGTTTGCTACATACACTTCTTTCATGATATCTGCAGTCGTTTCAGCGGATAAGAAGTCCGAGATTTTATTGTATGGTGAGGGACGTATTTCAACTGAACTACATTTTTTTCAGAAGGAACCAAAGAAATTGGCGATGTTATTAGTTTAGTGTCTATGTAGAAGACCTTGTTTTATGAAATGACAGATATTTATTTTTTTTAACATTTCCATCTTCCTCGCATTTTCTGGCCAGCTTAATACATATACAATTCAAAGACGTTAGGGCGAAACATTGAACATTTTTTTCAAAATAACGTACTTAGACTTTGCCGTTCTTTTACCTTGCATTTTTTATAACAGCTTTCGGCATTAAGGAAATAATGTAACAAAACAACTTTAATACTTTTAATCCATTGAGATCCAGTGACTTTTTGAAACTTTTTGATATTTTTTAATAATTTATTTAAAATTTAAACTTTTTTGTAACCTTTTATTATTCAATGTGTGATCCGATTATACTTAATTTTTGATAGCTTTTGTGTAAAGAGATGGTTATAATTTAAATTAATGGAGTTTCATCAGTTTACAGGGCCCAGAAAGGAAATTGCAGGATTCCATCGATATACTTCATGAGCTTTCTATGTATGCCTTCTAGTACGGAAATTTGTCACACCGCCTACAAGGCAACACCTCGCACTTTCTTGCGCGGCTGTCATTAACTTTGAAGTATTAAGCTCTTTATAGAACCAAACTTTGTAGTTTTTTTTCTATTTTCCATCCGTTCATAAGTAAACACTATTCAACTTTAGAAGGTTGATCGCATTTCAACCTTCTGTACCACAGCAGGATGCATCATAAGATGTAACATATAAAATTGTGGACATGATTCATCTGGTCAGAAGGTTTTGTTTATAACCCTGTTCTTTGTGCGCGGCGTCACTTGCATTAAAAGTTTTTTTAAAGTATAATTCGTTTTCTTTGTTCTTATCTTCTAGTTGTCTATACCTCTATGTTTTAGTACTGTAATAAAGTCATCAACATATGAAATTAATGGATGCTAAGTATATTGCTTAGTGCAACTATTTTTTATCTATATTTGATTCACCACGTAAGCAGTACCAGTTAATTTACTTATGTGGTAGGAATAGCATCTTATATTTTATTTATTGTATCTATCGAGGTATCGATCTATTGAGGAATATTTTCTAACAGGTACTACTAATTTCAAAAGTANGTGGTTTTTTAAGGAATGTGAGAAAGTAACGTAATAATTTAACGTTAAAACATTTATATGTATATTAAAAATCTTCGGATAATTTGTTAAAAATGATTTCCTGTCTGTTTTTGATGAAATATTTTTTAAGTACCAAGAAAAAAATGTATCTCAACATGGACGACGTTTGTAACTTCTTCCTCTATTTGTGCCATCTCCGATATCGAAGGTTAGTGGTCACGTCCACAAAGGTGTCTCGATCCGCTGCAGCTCTGATAGGGTCTTCAAAGTTGTCAAATTCCTGATATTCCGCATCCATGATAGTTTCCTTCTACCAAGTCCACGTTTCCCCGTTTTCCCTGAATGATAAGTTGCAACAATTGGTATTTTTCATTTCTTAACCTTCCGGCGGGCGCGCTTGTGTACAAAGTACACACAATTGTGTTTAAGGGGTAAAATGACGTAATTTCCGGAGAAATAAACCTTTCTTTAGCAGGTATTCCTTTAAAGTTAATTTGTCTTTTGAAGGCTACGGTTGAAAATTTTTTGAGAGGCTTAGAAATTACAAAAAAAAATAAATTAGTGAGATTAAGTGAGTTTGTGTACAAAANTAAGTGTAGATCACTTGCTACTAAGGTGCTGTAATTAATTTTATTTCATATTAATATAATGTTACATATATAACTTTAGTTGCATTGTATGTTTGATCAACACACATTATAACGCTTCGGCCGCAAGCAACCTCGGATTAAATAGTAAGTAGTTTCGTCTGATTATGTCCATAGAATAAAAGTTCATAAGTTGAATCGATGTATAAATTTCTTTATTAAATAAGTACTACATATGTTTCGAATCTAATGATTCTTCTTCTTTGGCACGACTAAAATTTAAGAAAAAACAACAGGAAATGACATATAAGTATTACATAAAGAATTGGAGTTAAAATTATAAAATATATAATAAAGGTAATTTACCGTCAAAAATTAGGTTGTTTGATGGAATTGAACATTCAAACCCGTTTGTAAAACATTTAATTCTTAATAAAATCACAACGCGACAATCTTACGAAGAAAACAGGTATCACATCGAAGGTTAAAACACGATAGAATAAGAAAAGTGGTGTGCAATTGAGCATGTCCGGGGGTTACAGGTTTTTAAATTGATATTATTCATCGGGAAAATGTGTGAAAAGGCAGTTATTTTTATAGGAAATTCAGAAAATGTCTATTGTTATTAGTATCAACGAAATCGTTCATTAGTATGTTCTTTTTGTTATTAATGTTAATGTGTAACTCTTCATAAAGGTCCATCTCTCTCGATTTTTTAAGGTTCTTCAGCAGTTTTATGTTTTCTGCAGGAATGTTATGTGACGTTTCTTTTTTATGTTTAAAGACAGCAGAGTTTTCTTTAGAGGAGTGTTCTTTGAAATGGGTTAAGATGTTCCTACCGGTTTGCCCTATGTATATTTTGGGGCAGTCTGAACAGTTGATTTGATATATACCGCTGAGTTCTTCATGTTTAGGTTTTTGTTTGTTATTCATGAGCAGTTTACTAATCTTAAAACAAGAGGAGAAAGCTGTAGTAATGTTAAATTTTAGTAGGTTTCTTTTTAGTTTTTGCTCAAGTAGTGGATGGAAAGGGATTCCTATATGTTTAGTCTTTGTCTTAAAGTGTGGGAATATAATGTTATTAATCCTGGATATGTGGACTCTATTATATATATTTTGCATCTATTTTACGTTGAAAACTTTTTTGAAATTGATTGTGCAGGTAGATCTGTATAATTTTATGTCCAGATCGTTTGATATCGATATATTGCAGTTTAATATCATGTTATATTCATATCAAATAAAATTAGTGGCAACGCATATTTGATCAACACATATTGTAACTCCTGATTTGACTGATTTCGTCCGATTAAGTCGAAATCGCTTGCAAACAACCTTTGCTTAATCATTGTAAGCAAGGCCGAATGATCACCCCTCATCGATTAGAGAATGAAATGGAAGAAGTAATCAACCAATTCATTTCTATTTCTATCAGTTTACCTTAACTTTTGTTTATAAAATCTAACACTTTGGTATCGACAGCTTGTTAGTCCGATGGATTGCCTCTTACATAAATGAAAGAACTTGTGATCTTACACAATAACGATTTCTTCACATATACCACAAGGAAATCCCTTCTATTTGATTTAGTTATAACAACACCTCATTGCGAATATATTCCTGATTAAGATTACTACCTGGTGTTACCACCTCGCAGTAAGACGAGAACTACACGATACTTAAGAGATTAAGGGATTTGCGTCCTGTTCGACTCATATTGATGTATTACACCACTACTATTCGTTCTAAATTGTTTCAGAGGTCGATTATTTTCCTTTTTATGCTTAGTTAATTTTTCTTATTAATAATAAAAAACAATATATAGATAATAGCAATTCTACAAATTGAAAATAAATGAAACGAGATTAAAGCTTATTCAAAGCAGATAATTTTAAATACAATTCTGATTGACATTTCCTTTTTATTGCCAATCGTATACATATCAAAGAATGTGTTAAGTAATAAGCAATCCCTACCATTCACTCTTTTTTATGTGCTTTTGTAATCCGAACTCGCAGTCACTCTCTATTATTGACCACTCTCACTCTGTAAAACAACGCGGTTTATTTAAATATAGTTCGCATGTCAATTATCCTAATTGTTCGAGTTTTAGTATTTAATTTTTTGTTACCTTAACATTTTAAAAATTTAAATATGTAAAGAAAAATGTTAAAGTGGGTACCCAGATTAAATCCTATTTCTGAATTTCTTCTCGATTCGGTAAGAAATATATTTAATACATATTTTTTTTTAATTTTGATTTAAAAGTTATTTAAAAAAAGTTTTAAGACTTATGTGGTTGTAATAAATATATTAAACGATAATAATTATTACAAATCATTCTATTGTAATTGTCCATTAAACTTATTCATTCCAATACAATGGACAATCGGCTATAATTAATACTTGAACAAGAGCTCACATAGTTTGTTATGATAAGATCGGAATGCAGACGTCGGTATAAATAGAAATTTCTATATATGGTCTTCTATATGCTCAACATTCCACAACAATAATCTCCTCATTTAAAAAAAATCTCTTTTTGCTAAAAATATTGAGCATCAAAAAAGAAATTAAAATGTTAATTAATAATATTAATGTGTTTTTCTTTTGTATTCTAGGGCTCTGACCCGCGCATAGCGACATGCCGTGCGAAACTCCAGAACAAACGTTCGAAACTCAACCAGGAAATCAACAAGGAACTACGCCTTAGAGCCGGTGCAGAGAACTTATTTAAAGCGACCACGAATCGAAAGCTAAAAGAAACCGTCGCCCTCGAGTTAAGTTTCGTTAATTCGAACCTTCAACTACTCAAAGAACAACTCGCCGAACTCAATTCTTCGGTCGAACTGTACCAACACGACAAGTAAGTAGTAAATTCTCATTTGCGAAAGAAAATCTTGTTGGAGATTTATGTTTTAAGCGGGAACTACGATAGTTCTTGGATCATTTAAAAAGATTAATAATGTAATTAGAGTTTCCGCGTCGACGGATGAAAGCGTTTATAAACATTAACTTGACTTAAGTCGCCTTGTAATAGTATGGTTTACGTAATTTTAGTAATCATATCTTTAATGTTACCGTAATTAGGTAATCGTTTCCGTTTTCTTGTTAGTGGATGTTCAAAATGTTTTAAGACTAAATGGATGGTGATTTCAACCTTTTAACATACTCCAATGAATACGAAATGATATAAAATAGTGGGTTTCTAAGGAATGTGAGAAAGTAACGTAATAATTTAACGTTAAAACATTTATATGTATATTAAAAATCTTCGGATAATTTGTTAAAAATGATTTCCTGTCTGTTTTTGATGAAATATTTTTTAAGTACCAAGAAAAAAATGTATCTCAACACGGACGACGTTTGTAACTTCCTCTATTTGTGCCATCTCCGCTATCGAAGGTTAGTGGTTACATCCACAAAGGTCTCTCGACCCGCTGCAGCTCTGATAGGGTCCTCAAAGTTGTCAAATTCCTGATATTCCGCATCCATGACAGTTTCCTTCTACCAAGTCCACGTTTCCCCTCTATCTTTCCCTGAATGATAAGTTGCAACAATTGGTATTTTTCATTTCTTAAGATTTGTCCAAGGTAAGTTGTCTTTCTCGTTTTCACTATGTGAAGTAGCTCCCTATCCTTATTCAACTTTATCAGCACTTCCTCGTTGCTTGTGTGCGATGTCCATGGAATCTTTAGAATTCTTCAGTACGTCCACATTTCAAATGTTTAATTTATACTGACAGTCTTCAGATTCCATGTATCCATTCCGTATAGCAGAGCTGACCATGCATAACACTTGGTGAGTTTCAGCCGTATAGCGACATCCAATCGTTCATGGCTCAATACTATCTTGAATGCAATGAAATTTTGCCTCGCTTACTCCACTCTACCTAGATCTTACTTCAATGCCATTATCAAGTCTCGAGTTTATCCAACACCCCAGGGATGTGAAATTTCTTTATTCCGAGTTTATTTCGTCGTGGCAATCATTAAGTACCTCAACAAATAAACATTCTGAATAAATATTAAATAGTGGAACTCAGCAACACATTCCTGTCTTACTCCCTTACAGATGTCAATNTGTGTACAAATACAAATACTACACAAAAATGTTGTAAATGTAAGCAATTCATATGTAAAAAACACTCAAAAACTATGATAACTTGCTCGACTTGTGAAATGCATTCAGACTCTGACTCATAATTGATTTATTAGTTGTTCATTATGTTATTATGTTATTGTAAACACATAAAATATAACAATAAAGTGTCGTGTATTCTCTGTATTGTTTTTTTTTTGTAAATTAATATGTAAATTTCCCCCAAAAGAAGAAATTTTCCTATGTGTACATTGTACACTACGCGCCTGCTCGTGTAATAAAAATAGGCGCGCCTGCCGAAAGGTTAAGACTTGTCCAAGATAAGTTGTCTTCCTCGTTTTCACTATGTGAAGTAGCTCCCTATCCTTATTCAACCTTATCAGCACTTCCTCGTTGCTCGTGTGCAATGTCCATGGGATGTTTAGAATTCTTCAGTACGTCCACATTTCAAATGTTTAATTTATGCTGACAGTCTTCAGATTCCATGTATCCATTCCGTATAGCAGAGCTGACCATGCATAACACTTTGTGAGTTTCAGCCGTATAGCGACATCCAATCGTTCATGGCTCAATACTATCTTGAATGCAATGAAATTTTGCCTCGCTTACTCCAATCTACCTAGATCTTACTTCAATGCCATTATCAAGTCTCGAGTTTATCCAACACCCCAGGGATGTGAAATGATCAACCCTGTTCAATTTCTTTATTCCGACTTTATTCCATCGTGGCAATCATTAAGTGCCTCAACAAACAAACATTCTGAATAAATATTAAATAGTGGAACTCAGCAACACATTCCTGTCTTACTCCCTTACAGATGTCAATGTACTTTGAATACAATTTATTCTCTTGTAACTGAAATAGCAAATAATTCAAGATCTAATAGCAATAGAGAACACCGGGATGTATCAAAATGATTCTGAATAAACACAAAACCTAAGTACAAAGCAACCATTTACAAAATTTCAAAATCGACAAATTTTATTGTAGCCAAAAATTAAAATCGATCTTTATCCGCACTACATAAATATGCTTGATAGTGAATCAAAGAACATAATCTATAATCAAAGCTAGCTTCTTCTTTTCCAAAATTTCAAAATTATTTTGATTTGATAAGACCAGTTCGATAGTTGGACATGAAGTTGTACATTAACTTTTTGGCTACTTCAGAAAACTTTGCTTTTGTCTCTAAATAAAATCAGTCTATTTGAAATGACTATATCTCGGTTGATTCGAAGAAGTTTTCTTCTTTTGACTGTTTTGTTGGACCGCAGATTTTGTCTTTTAATAAAGCTTTATCGTGATACTACCTTTATGTGCATTACAAAACTTTAAACATTACTAAATGAAATATCGAAATATGAATATAAAAAAGAACAGAATAGATTACTAGCATTATGGGCAGAAGTTATTTTCGATGCTTAATCGTTTATCGACTCAAACTCAGAAGATAAAGAAGTCTCTCCTCATATTGATATGATGACTAATATTGGAGAACGTTTTGTTGAAGAAACGATCAAGTGAAAACATTGTCTATCTATGGTGTACAAATGATACTGCTATATATGTGTTTGGAAAAATAATGTTCCAAGAAAAATTTGCCTTTCAATTCTTTTTTGGTGATATAGAAAATACAGAGCTCAGTGAAAAACTTGCTAAATAGTTGTCAATTTTATTATGAGAAATTGGAACCCTCCAGAGAAAGAGTAGATTTTCTCAAATACATTCCAAACAAGCCTTGTAAGTACGGATTAAAAGTGCACGCTCTAATAGACGCGAATACTTTCTATTGTGTCTATGTAAGTTTGCAACCACCAGGTTCATTCACGTTAAGCAATAAACATCAAAAGCACGACGTAACATCAATTTTGACAGCTATCTTTTGATGACTGATCAGTTACACACTTATAAGCTAACATCTGAAGGAACAGTCCGAAAAAATATAATACAGATTTCACGAAACTTTCTAAATGTAAAATAAGAAATACAGCGAGTACATTATTTGTATTTCAATGTGATATTACCGTTATTTCCTATGTTCCTTAACCCTAATATCATAGTAATAACATTCAACAATAGTCAAGACTAAAACAATTACGAGAGATCATTGATTTCTATAAATCAATAAAAGGAAGTGTAGATCATTTAGATCAGATATCAACAAACTTCAGTGTTATCAGACACAGCAAACGATGGAAGAACGATGATGAACGATTCGTTATTAGTAATACGGTACAATATCAACACAAATATCAGAGAAACTAGTTTAAATTTTTGCGCAAGTGAATGTTTTAACATTCACATACTTTCCACCAGAAAATCATCGAAGAAAAATTGTAAGATGTTATGAGGAGTAAGAATCTTGGTATATAGATTATTAGTGATCTATACACATGGTACGGTATTGTCCAATATTCAACAGCCCAGAGAATTAATTTTTGTGTGGAATTGGTCTATTATGGTGAAAATTAGCAAAGAGGTATCTATGTCTGATACCGTGGAAAGCAAATTATAAACGATTTAATTGAGGTGAATGGTTAAAATATTAAGCAACAACTTTTTCTAATTCGTAATTACCTATTTCGTTTGTAATGTTTAACCTTGATACAATAATGCAACACTGCAAATTAATGTGCAGACAGGCATTCCCCAGATCCTTGTTGTTTAATCTACTCATGGATAGAATATATGAGTGGACAAAAAATCACGGTTGTGTACTATGCAGATGATGCCGTCGTACTGGCTGAGGATGGCCTATAGTGGATATCACAGACATTTAACACGGCAGCTGAAAAATTAAATATGCAAATCTCGATAATTACCAAGAAATATATGATGAGACCTATGGTAATGAGACAGACATAGATGAGGTTGCAGATTGAGAATGTTTAATGAAAAAACTAAAAAGTTTCCAAATTGAACTGCCTTAGTTTGCAAAAATGATTTGACGCTGGCTGTGATCAAGCAATTACAAAACTAGTAATGGAGAAAAAATGGTGTAATCAGGAGAAAACAAATCTGTAAAAAAGATGAGAAACGCAACATAGGCTTTGTACTTCCATGTACTTACGTTCAACTGATGCAATACCATCTCATGATCTTTGCCCAAAGAATAACGTAGATTATGATCAGCAAAAAAATTATTAAATTAAATGATTTAAAAGAAAAACTTCTTTTACTTGCCAAATTTATTTATTAATTAAATCAGAAACTAGTTTCGGGTTTCAACCCCATCATCAGTCTGAAAAGTCAATGAAACTATATAAAACACATAATATTGATGTAAAAATATACATGTCACAAAATGAAAAAACTTAAATTAGACATATAACATTCGAAAATTTTTATAAAATAAATTCCAAGAAGGACATTATCGGCGAAGAGAAATTGCAAGACTTAAAAAAAATATTATTTGCCTGAAAACTCAATGATTTTTATCAAACCAAACTTCATCGATTTATGTAAGCCAGAGATGCTGGAAAACTATTCGAAAGGCAGAACTGAAAATGTCAATAAATCTTTCAATTAATGTAGTTTAGACAGATATTCCAGAAAAGGGTTTTCCTAAAGTTTGGTACTTATGAAACTGTAACAAATAGTTGGTCACACAGACAAAAACATTATTATACCACTTTTATATCAATTGCGATCATCTTGAATGATCGGCGAAATAAAAGCAAATGGTCTAAAGACTGAATAAATGCATTTTCAAAACAATGTTGGGACAGAGCATAACAACCTAAATTTTCTAAGAATACATTTAG